CTCCTTGCCCCAACACACTGACCCAGCCACGTTTATTCAAACATTTCTGAAGAGCAAATTCTTTTCTCTCTCGAAATGCGAACAATGTATTTTTTTAAGAAACTCCTGTTTAAAGGAATTATTTCTTCACCTTTTGTGCAACTACTTCATTTTGCTACTTGCAAGCTGCTGACAAAATGCTTTCATTTTTTGCCCTCTGACCAATGTGATGTGTTTGTGCTTGGTTTTCACTGGTGGTGTTTTTTGGCAACATGTCTGCTGCTATAACAGCAGCTTCAGAAATGACCAGGGCAGATACAAAACTGTCACCTTATGGCAGCGCTCAGGTTATCTGCTGATAACCACTACTTCTCTCTTGCTTTTAGGAGTTTCTGCCAACATTTCTGACACATTCTCTTACATTATTTAGAAGTAAGAGGTGGAAAGTACGTGATGGAGCCCCTTCTTCCTACAGAGAGATCGTTCTGCGGGGACTCGCCGATGTGGCAGGTGTCACACCTGGCTTTCCTGTGCTGAACTATTGCAATATCTCTGGTTCTTGCCTGTCCTGTAGTTGTAGGTTGAATTCTTACAGTTTTGGTTTGAGTAGGGCTTTGGTAGGAGAGGATTACAACGTGCTCTTACGAGGCTGGAGGTAAAATAACCTGTGTTTGACGACCTCTTTTGTTGAATCATTCAAGTTCTTTACCTTAACGAGTTTGGTATTGCTGATCTACTCAGTGACAGAGTGGCTCTGCACATTCTTGCAGAGCTTTGCTGCTCTGGTGATTTCCTTTTACATCAATGGAAAGAAAAAAAGGAGAGAAGGGAGATTACTTGATACCTGAGCTGCTGGCTGACAGCAGGGAGCGCAGCAGGCCTGCGGGAGCGGAGGAAGAAGCAGTCTGCGTGGCTAATCCGAGCAGCTGGGCTCCGTTTCTCACCTGGTTTGTGAATGGGGAGCAGGAAGAAAAGGAGTCTACTATGCCAAGGGTTGTGTTTCTATGGGGCTGATAACTTATTCTCTGTCGTGTGCCTCTGTTTCAGGAAGCTCCGAGCCACCCTGGATGAGTACACCACCAGAGTGGGGCAGCAGGCCATCGTTCTGTGCATCTCGCCCTCCAAACCCAACCCTGTCTTTAAAGTATTCGGTGCTGCACCCTTGGAGAACGTGGTAGGTGTCTCTAGGAAGAGCTCTGTAAGAAATTGCTCCCCACCTCAGCGGGTTTCGTGCTGCTCAAGGCAGCCTCGCGAGCCTGGTCGTGATCTGAAGGTCACGCTTAGAACCCTGGAAACAGGAAATCAGATGGTGGGGACGTGAGGGTAGCGCTGAGGTCCTGTCTTCTCTGATTGAACGGTTGCATAACACAGCTCAGCAGGGTTGAATCTTCTGGATTAAAAAATCAGAGGGAGCGGGGAGTGATGACGTGTTTGAACTCAGCTCAGCTGTCAGTGCTTGCACCCTGTTGCAGACTAGACAGCAAATGGTGCAGATCCTGACCAAGTCTTGCATCAGAACTTTTCTTTTAATCCCGTAAATACTTCCACTCGCCACTGTTACTTGATGTTTCATCATTAGCTCTTCGATACAGCCAAGTCTTCGGGGCCAGTGGGTATTTTTTTTCTTGCCAGCTGTGGCGTTGTTTGCCGCTCCTCTTCTGCAGCACCTTGGGGAAGGTGGCTGGCCCTGCGTCCTTGCCCTCGCCTCTCCTGGTGCTCCTTACCTTGTTTACCTGAGCTTAACAATTCCCCACAGGTACGCAAGTACAAGAGCATGATTCTGGAAGACCTGGAGTCTGCGCTAGCAGAGCATGCTCCTGCGCCTCAGGAGGTTAACTCAGAGTTGCCACCCCTCACCATCGACGGCATTCCCGTCTCAGTGGACAAGATGACCCAGGTAAGCTGCCAGACACGGCAGAACCAGAAAGAGATTTGACATCTTGCAGTCACATCCTGTTATTTTATGGCAGAGCTTATGCCTGCCTCTCCAGGGGATGCATTTGATCTCCTCTTTCTCCTGGGACTGTAACAGCTCGGATGGTAGTTAGATGTGAAGCTTTGGTTTTGGTGCTTATTTTCTACGTGCAACAGTAGAAATGCTGGTAAGGACTGGAGCTCAGGCTGCTGGGAGCATTCCTTTTTGAGCTGTTTTTTGTCACCTCCCATAAGCCATGACCAGGAAAGATATTTGTTGTGCACTTTGCAGTGATGTTTAGGCACTGAGGTCAGGAAGGACGCTTGTGGACTCCTGTTTGGCTTATGCTCCTTGGATCTTTCGTGTATGCTCTAGTCCATTCCCTCCTTTCTTTTCCGCTGCAGATTGGAGCAGAGGGGAGCTTGCCAACGGTTTAACTCCAGATCATACCCTGAGTGAGACAATTCTGATGGAGACAGGGAGGCATCTGCCCTAGGCATGTGGGGGGACTCCTTTTCTTTCCAGGTCCTGCCTTTTGCTGACCTCCTTATAGCTAGGAAAAAGTGGAGGGGACTTTTCCCTCCCCGGGAAAGCTCCTTGGTGAGGGAGGGATTGTCCGCAGGGAGATCTCCTTCCCCTGGGGTGCAGGACCTGAATGCAGGCAGGTGTGTTTTGCAAGAAGCTCAGTCTGATGCCCCAAAACAGATTTCAAACGCTCGTAGCCAGTTTCTTCTGAGGGAGTAGCATGGTGGAGAGGTCGGAGGCTTTTGGGCAGCACACAAAGAGGGGTTGTAGCAGATCAAAGATGCGCAGATTTCCTCTGTGCCCTGCACCATTTTCATTCCTTAGGGGGAATCAGGCAAGCTCACGCTTGAAATGAAATTTTACAAAGACATCTACGGAGCTTTGGCTGATAGCAGATCGTGTTCCTGATCTGTGACAACATCAGACAAAATTAAGTTGCTGGATTTTTAAGCCGCTGAGGGAAAGGTGGTGTCTGCAAGAGCTTTTTCGCAGGCAGCTTTTGTCATGGAAGTGTGAAAGTTAAAAAAATCAAAACGTTTGACTTTTAAAGTAAAATGAGAGACGACCAAATTGCAGATCCGTAGCTCTGAGCTGCAATCCATTAACGCATCTGAGCAAAACTCCTCTGGTTTGCCGTGTGCAGAGGATGTGTGCAGGTGGAAGGGCCAATAAAAAGTTCTGCCAACTGTCTGGCTGTTCACATTTCACGTGCCATCCAAGCAGCAATAAAAGCTGCACTTCAGAGAAACCTTCAGCTGGATTTATAATGTGGGTTGGTTATTTTTTTATGATAGAGTTGAGAGTTAAATACTGTAACGTCAAAGGTTGCTTATGTCTTGTCTGCTTCTGCATGATGGATAAAATACTAATATCCATAGAGTTCTGTGGATAAAATACTAATACTTTGCATGTTAAGCTAAGCATAACGCTGGTTTGTTTTTTTTTTCCCCCCCAAACATGACATGGCCTTGGCCTTCAGGAAACCTGACACAAAGATTTTTGCGTTTCCACGTGTGACGCAGCTGCTGGCAGGGTCGTTGGGGTTTTTCCCCCCTCCACGCATGACACTTGTGTGTTTCTGGGCTTGTTATAGCTCTGTTACACAAGAAACACTTTTTCTTCTCCATATTCTGCAGGGCCTTTGGTCAGCAGGTGTGAAAACCGTTGGTGCATTATGGTGAAACAAGGGTCTGGTCAGGAGTAGCCCTCATCTTTTTAGTGTGATGTGATAACTTCAAACAGGTTTGTGAAGAGGTTTCTCCCGAGCTGTGGACAGGATCCCTGCTCTTTGTGCCCCGTTTGGGAAACCGTCGCTGTGCCATCCGCTGTGGCATGCTCGCTGCCTCAGTTTCCCCCCATATCATACAGGGATGATGTTTTGTAAATGTCTTTAAAGAAAAATTTGAGATCCTTGAGTGGGTGCAGACCACTTAAGGACAAAGCACTGGATTTCAGTCTCTTCTCCCAAGCAACAAGCGATAGGACGAGAGGAAACGGCTTCAAGTTGCACCAGGGGAGGTTTAGGTTGGATGTTAGGAAAAATTTCTTCAGGGAAAGGGTTGTGAAGCCCTGGCACAGGCTGCCCAGGGCAGGGGTGCAGTCCCCACCCCTGGAGGGATTTAAAAGCCGGGTAGCTCAGGGACACGGGCCTGGCAGCACTGGGTTAACCGCTGGACTCGATGATCTTAAAGGTTTTTTCCAACCTAAACAATTCTATGATTTAATGGACAGGACTGCAGACTCCTGGGTGGGTTTTCATAACCCAGCAAGTCGTATTCGAAAATTTTTTGAGGACTGAGATGGGACGTGTGGTGCTTAGCAGGTGATTTTGTTCCTGAAAGCATCCGGCTGCTGTATAGTTTTTGCCAGATTTGGGGGAAAAATTTAAATAGAAACACAACATAGATATGCTGAATAAGGTGAGGACACCAAGCTGGTTGGTTTTTTGTTTTGGCCACAAGTACAATTGGAAATACATTCATTGGGGAGAGCGGGTGATAACTCTGACACTGCAACCTGTTGCACTGCTAGAGCTGCCGTCGCTTTTTTTTGTAGGAACCTTGATTTCCCGAGCTGCCAAGGTAACTCTTCGTGTTTGCCGACAAGAAACGAGCCTTTTCAACTAAGTTGCACAAAGCCCTGTGGGAAACAGAAATATTTATAAATGTAAATTGGGCAGCACAATTAAGAGGTGTGTCACGGGGAGTGGAGAAACGAGGCCTCCGCTTTTGGCAGCTGCAGGTGTCAGCAGGCAGGTGGTAGAGGCGTGAAAATAACTCTCCTTTTAATTGCTCTGCTTCCCTGATGGTCTTGAGGGAAATAAAGCCTTCACTAGCCTGTGCAGAGATGCTTCTATAAACTTGGAAATGGAGAGCATCACGCACCTTGGCTGTGCAGGAACAAAAAAGGTATTGCAGCAGGGCTTTTAGCTTGCAGCCAGAGAAATCTCATCGCTTGATGGACTTTGGCTACGTTGGCACCGTACGTCAGAGCTGAGTTTGCCCCTAAACTTGATCTCAGTTACTCACTGATATGATTAAGGAGTAAGATTGGGTAATGCTGAGGTCAATGTTTCGGTCGGCTCTCGCCGAGGTCACTAGAATTTGCCCGTGCTTTTCTGAACAGGTGATTTGTCCTTCAGGCTGACATTTTCTAAACTCAATATGCCCCTCTGATTTGCAGTCTGCTTATACGAGCCAGGAAAGTTTATCTATCTCAAAAATCATCTTGATGTCTGTTTGTGTGCTGCCCTGCAAAAAGCTTTAGCCTAAACAGGAGATATCTTTCTGTACGTGAGTTTGTGTGCAGGAGAGGCCAAGTACTAAAAAGATGGTAACTAAACCAGGTTTGTGGCGCTCAGATCCTCCCCATGGGGGGTCAGGGACCCCCTCACCTGGGTGTAAGGCTTGCTGCTGCTCCCTTCTGGTCCCCGTCAGGTGTGGTGAGGGGACAGCCTGCCTTTCTGCTCTCCCAGCACATCACTGGCGTGTGGCAGCGAGAGTGTCCTTAATTTGCAGTGGAGGGACCCCAGAGCTGGGAATCGGGTCTCCTGTGCAGCTGAGCTCCAGCGCTGGGCTCCAGCTCCAAACTCTGCTCGGAGGTGATGGTGGTCCTCAGCCCGGTCCCCAGGTGTGCCCCCCTGGAACTTCACAGCTAGTCACTCATCCTTAGGACTGGAGCACTGTTTCCAAGTGGAAGAGAAGAAAGATTTGCCTAAAGAGTAAATCCAGATGCTTCCACAGGGAGATCTGTGCACCTCCTGCTTTTTCTACTGTTAATTTTGGGTTGGATTCCTGTGGCCAGGCGTCAACCATTGCGTCTGCTGAGCGCCGGCACGTCTCGTCGAGGGCACCCAGGCTGACCCTGCGCCTCCTCTTCCCCGTGGCGGATTTCTGAGCGGTGAGCCCTTTCTCCTCCTGCCTGCCAGAAAGGGCAGCGAGACCCCACAGAGCTCAGTCAGGGCCACGTGGGTTTTCACAGGAGGAAATTCATGATGACAACTTGGTTGCTGCCTTGGCAGATGCCTGGCTTTTGAAGCTGAATATTCAAACATTGATTGGAACTTTTAAAGAACGTTTAGTCTAAAGTTGGCTGTTGCCAAAAGAAGAGCCAGTGAACAAAATACCTGCGTGCTTTGCTGCAATTCCTGCTTTGACCTCTTCCACTCTGAGGTGCAGCCGACGTCCTGCGTGGGCTTGACTTTGTTTTTCCCAGCTGCTGCTTTTTGGAGATCCTAAGGCTGAGCGGTGTGGGAAGAGGTAGAAAATTCCCAGCACGCGTTTTGCTCCCTTTTAGAAACCTCTTTCCTTAGCAGGGCATAAACCTTAAGCTGAAGCCTTGCTGGGTGCTTTGCACACAGGACAACTGGCTGTTCCCAGCACTGGAGTGCAGTTGTCTGTGCTTTGGGCCGTTGGAAGTGGTAGAATTGGGATTAACTCACTACTGTTAACACTTGAGCTTAATATTAAAACTTGGAAGACACTCACTCTGCGTAGCAAAGGGCATCAAGGAAACATTTCTTACAGCTTCTCTCAAACCCTCCATACTAGAGATTATATGAGCTCTTCCCAGAGCTGTGCAAACCAGAGCATGCTGCTGTCTTTCTTTTATTATTATTTTTTTTATTTATTTTTTCCTAGCAGAGGTTTGATTTTGGGGTTGGTTTGTGGATGGAGCCAGCAGAACCACGTGGCTCTGGCTGATGAAGCGGTTGCGCTGGTTCCTCCCAGCTGCGCCCCAAGAGATGCCAGCTCTTTGTCTCGGTGCCGTAGCCTGTGTCAGAGCCCGGGTGAGGTCTCGTTATGGCACTAATTAGAGAAGTCCTCACGCTGGAGCAGGTTGTAACGCCACTGCTGATTGTCTCCCTGGCGGATTAAAGACAAGCCCTCCTTAACAAGTGCCTCGAGTAGCTTGAGCCGCTGAACTCCCTAGGACCAGTAATTAATCCATCTGGTAACAAGGAGCATGGCTTGCAGACAGCGGTTCTGGGAAGCAGCTTTTAACTGTTTTGGCACCAGGCAGCTCGACGCCCTTAGCAGGTTTATTTGAATAAATTGGGGCCTCAACAGGAGATCCTGGAGGATGTCCGGGCGGCGGTTGGCCTTGCAGTGGAAGGTGCGTGGTGTGCCGGCTTGAATTGAGGAAAAGGGCAACAAAGCAGGGGTTACTTACGATCCGGGGGTTTGATATGGCTTCCCTGGGATGGTTCAGGACTTCTGTGGAGTGGAGGAACTGAAATGCAGGGGCGTGCAGCAGGATACGCTACGTATGGACCCACAAGTACACTGAATTTTTACTCTTCAGAGTCCCTGGCCACTGCTGCAAAGCATGCAATGTAATAAATCATGCCTGCCAAGAAATTGTTTTCTTTTTACCGAAACACACTTTTCTATTAGCTGTATAAGCTGTGGCCCACGTTACATCTTTCAGCTGGGCTTTGGCTTTAAAGAGCAGTTCTGTGTCTGTAAGAGCTGCTGCAGATCCCGCCGCATTTCGCGCCGTGCTTAGGGGCTTTTGGCTTTTTACGGTGACCAAAGAGACAACCTACATTCTCCTGTTCCTCTGAAGTATTCCTCCATTCCTCCGTCGGACCGGCATTACGGGGGATTTCAGCACATACCCCCTGTGCTAACGTGGAAAAGGCAGCTTGTAAATGAGTTGAGTTGCACCGTGGAGCCAAGTGATACAATATCCACACTGTAAACGGGATCTCATTTGAGGAGAATCGTGGCCGGGAGGTAGCGTGGTTTATGGCAGAAGATCAGGGAAGGGTGAGAAGTCCTCCATGAGCTGACCTGTGTCTCTGCCAGCTCAGATCGCGTCGTGGCTGCGGCAGCAACCGATGTTGGCCCCTGTGTGCTCGTCCCAGAGCCCTGAACGTGCTTCTCGGGGGTGGTGAGGTGTCCCGAGCCTCCCAGTGATGCTGTCACAAGCTCACGTAACTTGCTGTTAAAGTTACGAAGGGATGCAAGGAGGTGTAATTAAATGTAGCTGTTTAGCTGTAAGTTTCTCTGACATATGTAGTCATGATGGAGCTGTTGGGGAGAGTCCAGAGGAGGCCACAAAGCTGACCCAGGGGCTGGAGCAGCTCTGCTGCGAGGACGGGCTGAGGGAGCTGGGGTTGCTCAGCCGGAGAAGAGCAGACTCCGGTGGCACCTTATCCCTGCCTGCAGTGCCTGAAGGGACCTACA